CTTCCGCCCGCTCTCCTCCCTCACGCACCCTTCCAACTCTTCTTCCCCTTCCTCCTCCCTTTTCGTTGACCCCTTCTCTTTCCTGCTGCCGCCGCGGGTGCTCCCCCAGCGGCGCGGAGATTACACAGCCGTCGGGATGCCCCAGCTCTCCGGGGGAGGCGGCGGCGGCGGGGGGGACCCGGAACTCTGCGCCACGGACGAGATGATCCCGTTTAAGGACGAGGGCGACCCCCAGAAGGAGAAGATCTTTGCCGAGATCAGTCACCCCGAAGAGGAAGGCGACTTAGCCGACATCAAGTCTTCCTTGGTCAATGAATCCGAAATCATCCCAGCTAGCAACGGACACGAGGTGAGCGGGCGGCTGTCCCAAGCCCCGAGAAGCATGGCTGGGTCCCGGGGAAGATCAGAGGAAGGAAGGGGGCGAAGGCGCGGGGCAGCCCTGGCTGACGGGTCCGCAGTAGCTCCCACGTTTGTTTGGGGAGGGAGGTGGTGGTCCCTGGTCTACATTCCGTTTTTGTGTGCGTGTCAAGGGGAGGGTAGCGTGCAGGGAAACTTATACCAAGCGCATCAGTTAGGGGTTCAGTGGGTAAGTCGTTTGTTTACGGACAGGAAAAGCTGCCCTTAACCCGTAACGTTTCTCCTCCGGACGTTTTGGTGGGGTTGAGGGAGTGCGATGAATTAGAGCGAGGATGTCTGAACAACACTGCAGAAAAGTTCTTCCATAAGACGGAAAACAAAGTGCACCCGCTATCTGTTTCGATAGATGTCTCTGCAGAAGTGCGTTAAACCACCAAGAGGCTTAGGTGGAGACCGGGCGAGAGTAAGAGGGGCGGGCGTGGGCCGGGGGCAGGCGGGGCCGTCCCAACTGCCGCCGAGCGGCAGGCCGAGGGGCGCGCGGGGGCGGTGCGAGGCCGGGTTTCTGCCGCCCCGGAGCCCCAGCGCCCAGCTCCGTGTGGGATCTGTGGGCAGGACCAGCCGAGCCATCTCAGGGGGGCCTCGCCTTACAGCCCGCAACACTAGTTTTCTCCAACTGCCGTCACTTGGAAAAAAAAAAAAAAGCGTTTATATTTGGGGTTAGTTTGGGCCCGGATCAGGCCTGAAATCTATGCAGAAGAAAGGCGAATCTAAGAGGAGATGCGGCGGAAGCCGGGGCACCTCGCAGGGGAGGGTGGAAGGCGCTTTATCAGATCTACTGGCGCTGGTAACCCTAGTAGAGTAAATAGAGACACGTGGGTGCAGACGAGAGAAAGCCCCGAGCCGGCCAGCGCGGTAGGGCTATTTCGGGCGGCGCCAAGAGTTTTTGATGGGGGTGGAGGCGGATGGACCCTGATATCCGACACTCTATTGGCCTCCCTCATTCAACAACTGAGAAACCTTTGGAGGAAATCCGGTAGAAGAGTCTTGACACCCAAATGATTGCACCAACGTTTTTTCCCTCCAAAGAAACTTGGAGGGTATACCCTTTTTCCTTAAATGGCATCTTTCTGCCCCAAAAAAGAAAGCGTGTGGTTTTGGGGGCGGGGAAATTTGGGGTTTTAAACAACACGTTTAAGAACACCTCAGGTTACCTTCTCTATCCAAATGGCAGGGGTGAGTACGCATTTTGGAAGGCTGGGGGGACGCGGGTTCTGAGATTATCCCCTGAATCTTATCCCAACATGTCAGTTTGAGAAGCGATCAGGGCGATTGGGGTGCGCCTAACCCCACTTAAAAGGTTTGTGACTATGTGTGGCTTGGGGAGAGGAGATCTGCGAGAGGAACCACCTAACATCCAAAACACTCAGACGCTTTTTTGCCGAACTCTCGTATTTAAAGAGAAACCCTTTTTTCCCTTTCTACCCATTTTGTTTGCCCTTCGTTAGTCCATAAATAAATTTTGCCACCCACTGGAAATTTTTCTACACTTCTCTGGTCTGGGAAGAAAGGCACTGCGTTTGAAGCGAGAACCAGTGTATTAGGGCTTTGTTAATCTTTGCCGCGGTGGCGAGCGGGCATAGGGCAGACCTATGGTGAAGGAAGATGGTGAAGGGGTAATACCACTAATTTGCACGTGGTTGAAGTCTGGGTGGATGGTGGTTACTAGAACTGATAGGTAATTGAACTACCTTTTAGGTGACTGTAACCTGACTCTGATTTTCCTGCCTTTAACCACAAAACAGTTCTACTTTTCTCTGGTAAGCATGCATGCACACAGCCAGCCTTGGTAGATAGGGAGCCGGAGTGGAGCTCCTGCAGGACTTGGATGAGGGCAGTGGCTTTAGAACCTCATCTATGAGTGGTTGGCTTGCTTATGTTTAAAATGTCATTTTCAGTTGCAAAATATTTCAGCACTCTTTTAATCAGCTCTGATGGAAGCAAACAGAGGCCGAAAAGTCTTATCAGAACACTCACCCCATTAACTCAAACTTCTATCGTATTAGGCCTCCAAGTAGCCTTGATGCGTTTTAGGAAACAGAAAAGTATGGGAATCATTCCCAAATTTACTAGATTGCTAGTGTTTTGTTATTATTATTATAATTTCTAATTCTTGGTAGATAATAGTCCCTCCAAAATACAAGCTGAATAAAAAAGGAAAAAGATTGCCTACTATTTAACCCTAGCCTGTGCCTCTTAGATTAATAAAACAGGCAGACTGGGTACACCTAAACCTCGTCCTTTGAGTTACCAGTGGACACACACTTGTATTGTTATTGTCAGAAACTCTAAGGTGATTTTCTTTCTTTTGTGGGGTGGGATTCATGCCGTTAGGTGGCCAGACAAGCTCAAACCTCTCAGGAGTCCTACCATGACAAGGCCAGAGAACACCCTGATGAAGGTAAGACACTGATGATAGATTCAACGTCTTTGAATTTTATCATTTCACATAAACAATTTGTGTCTGTAGTTGCTTGGCTACTTTTATTTGAGTTCAACAAACAGAGACCAGATGTGATAAGACTGTGCCTACTGTTTTCACAAAATTGGAAAGAAAACCCAGGAAACTTAACAGCTTATCTCTAATGTATATTTGTATCATTTAAAAAATGTCTTTGAATGAATTAGGAGGCTTTGGGTTTCAGTTGATTTCCAGATTCTTTGGGGGAAGAGGAAACGTCTATAATGAATTTTTCTCTTTTCCTCACTTTACCTTAAGTACGAAATAGCTTAGGTCTTCAGTATTTTTTGTGTGTCTTGTTACGAAGGATGACAGTTTATACTAACTTATTTTAAAACAAGAAGAGTTTTGAATGGGTTTTCATTTGTACAATTGGTGTTTCTTGTGAGAAGGTAGCAGTGAATGCACAGTCGGCACAAGGCTTAGTAAAGCAGAACCTAACTTGTAAAAATACAGTTTTATTCTTATAGTTAGGAATTAGGCACATCAAACATGATAATCAGACTGTCTCCCTATGCCTAATTCTTGCTCAAAACTTTTAAAGTTACATATTTTTCAGAGTTAAGAGAACTCCCAGTGACTTTAGAGTCAAGTAATTTGTAGGATTTTCTTGTTGACGAGTCTGCGTTTCTATTTCCCTTTAATTACTTAAAATTGGCCTGACCAGAATGAAGTGTTCATGCAAACAATATTTCAGCCAGAAGAAAAAAGAGAAGAGATCTATACTAGCAGGCTTCCTTTTCAACTACAAATAGTTACACAGATTAAAAAGAAGAAATCTGTAGACTGAAAACACACAAATTATTCTGACAGAATGATATAAATGTAGCGCATAAAATTAAGCCTCCTGGAGTTAATCCTTCATAAATTTGGGTAGTTGCCCAAATACTAGGTACAGCTCCCTCTTAGTAGAATAGTTCTCTTTCAGAAATCTAAAAGCACAGGCAGAATTTTTTAGTTTGCGTATGAGGTGAAGTATAACTATATGTTATATCTAGACCACCTAATGTTATGTTATAGCTTTAGATTTGTGTATGTTCTTCCATGTGTCTGTATTTCATAGTCCAGTTTGTTAGTATTAAGACAAATTAAGTTAGATGGATAACACTTATTTTTGTAAAAACACCAGCCAATCGTGGAAGTAAATTGAACCACATGTTTTTAAAACATCTGGTTCACTGCTAAGCCATTTAAGAGAATAAATACTGTCCATCTAAAATAGATCATGATAATTCAGTTAGAGTATTTTGTAAACAAATCTTTTATGTATGGTCTGATTTTCTTAAAACTATTAGATTTTCAGATGAAAAAATATAGTGATATAGAGAGGGAAGTTACCATATTGTTGATTGTTCTTTGAACTCTCTCAGGAAAGCATCCAGATGGAGGCCTCTACAACAAGGGACCCTCCTACTCGGGTTATTCCGGGTACATAATGATGCCAAATATGAATAACGACCCGTACATGTCAAATGGATCTCTTTCTCCACCCATCCCAAGAACAGTGAGTAACATGTTGATGTTGCAGATTATTTCAGAGGTGCAAATTGATTTGTATTTTGGCCGAATGTTTTATTTCAAACCCATTGGAAATTCTTTCATTACTATATATGACCAATCATTGCTTAATTAGAGCTGTTACGATGAATGGCTGTTTTAATATAGTGCTACCTTTGATGTCTTGCACTTGGAATTTTAGCTTTTGGCTTTTTAATTAGGATTAATAAATAAAAGATTATGAGTTATCATGAATCAAATGAAGTTAAATCAACAAATTCGTGATTTTATGAGTATTGTGCATTTTGTGCTGATGAGAGGAAAAAATTGATTTAATCTTTTAGTCAACTAGATATGCGATAGCTTTCACTGCTTATAAGCTATCTAGAGTCGGCTTTAGAGAAGTAGTTAAACTACCTTAGATTTTACTTAGGCTTTTAAAACGTCTCTTGTTTTGTATTAGTTGGTATTTCTTTAACATCACCTGTGGTGCGGAGGGTTAGCTGTTTTTACTTTAAATTGTTGAGAGTGTATCACTTGAAGATAACTAATGAAAATTATTCCTTTTTTTAATCTGGTGGTTCAGTTAACTTTTAAAGTTCTAAAAATGTAATTCATTAGAATTTAAGGTATGCTACTTGATGATATTACTCTTTTCTTGGGAAGTGTAAATAGGCTCATTTATGTCGTAGGAAAAACATTTAAAGGGAAACTTGCGTAGTATGTGAATGTGAAGTGTGCTGGTGCTTAAGTTCTTCTCCCAAGGGCCTGAGGATTGTCCCTCCAGTAATAGGGATGGATTTTTACTGATCCATCCATATAGTTACCTTCTGTCCAACCTCCCTTTTCCTCTACTGCCCACCCAGGATCAAAATCACGTACAGAAGGTCTTGGGCATTAGGGTTTCAGTTTAACTGGCCCCCCTGGGGATCAAATCCAGGATCCTGAAATGGAACCAGTGAGTTTTGCCTTGTTCTTGCCTTTTTCGCTCAGTGTTTACACCAACTGAAATATCAGTCACAACATCTGAGCAAAGTATGGTTGTTGAATAAAATAAATCTAGGAGGGAAAAGATTCTCTCAACTAGCTGATTGTAATCAACAGTATTAACAAACAGGAGTACTTGTGGTTATCTTGATTATCCAGAGCCCTCAGCTGTTGAAATGATAGGTATATGAAATATCATAAACACTTCATGTGGGCACTATGATTTAGAAGTTATTTTAATTATTTTTCTATAAATTTCAAACAGATATTTGACCTTTCAGGTAGAAAATAAGATTTTTGTAATTTTCATAGAGCAGCTAAAATTGATCTCGGAGAACTTGTGAGAGCTCCTAGAGGAGATGGGCATTTCACATTTTATTTTGAAAGACTTTTCAAATATTTAATGATAGAGATGTCTGTGTGGTACATACGACTTTGCTACATGAAGAAGTGACTGAATTAATAAAACCAATTATATTTTAATATTTAGAGACCACCCCAAATAAATGCTTCTCGGTTTTAAAATTTGTGGGCACGCCTATATTTATTGAACTAAATATGTAAACGCATAAGCTATTTCTTTTATAGCTGGGTAGGTTTTCTTGTTGCTCTGTTTTGCTTTTTGTTTTGTGTTTTGGGGGGAAGAGAATGTGTTTTACATAAGGAGTAACTGAAGATACTTCTTATTTCAGTGTTAGAATCATGGATTTAGTTGGAAGTAAGCAAATTCTATTTAGCTTTGGATTTTGTAAATAGGCTGGCTTCTGTTTAAAGGCTTTTTAGAAGAACAAATCATCTTTCTGACAAATGAAATTATAGTCTCTGGCTTGGCAGCAATAGAAAATAGCCACTAAAACAATCTTACACTTTTGACTGTGCATGTAGTTAATGCTTAGTAAGTATTTGTGGAATTTATTCTTAGAGAGATCAGCCATGTCTGCCTTCAAAACTGTGTGTGTGTATATATATATTTAAAATTCAGTGTAATGATATTGATATTTATAAATTATCCCTAAGAATATTGAACATTAAACTTCTCTTTAAGCCTGCATCCTGACTTAGGTCTCTCCAGCCTTTTCTTCCACCCGCAAGAATACTAATCATTTTGAAATTTTGATAGAATGGAAGGTATTTGTTGTTAGTGTATGTATTAAAATTTTGAGGTCAGTGAATGGAACAGTCATTCATTGTTTAAGAAAGGTTTGTGGCCAGGATAAATGTTGGTGGGTGTAGAGCTAAAGAAAGGGGTGTGATCAGGATACTTTACCGTGTTATCTGCTGCTTTGCTTTCTTCTGTTACATTTTAGAATATATTTATTTTAGGCACGTTTTCCTGTGATATTCTGTAGTTTGCACAATTCCAGAAGCTTTTCAATTTTAACCGCAAGACTGTCATTTTTTTTTTTTTTTTTTTTTTTTGGCGAAAATATACATAGCCAAAGATACACCATTTCAAAAACTATGTCTTTCACTTGCAACCTTCTGCTATGAGTTAAAATTGACTCAACAGCAATGGGTTATTTTTTTTTTTTTTTTTTTTTTAGGGTCCAACCCAAGTGAGTTCCAATCTTTGGTTTTTAATACCGAACAGCTGTTTTTAATGTGTCTGAGATCAAAAACACTTAACCGGAAGGCAGCCTCTCTTCTTCACCCGTAACCACACTCTGCCTTCCTGCTCTTTAACTCTTGTCTTTAGCAAGACTGTTTGTGTCACTGACATCTACAGTGATAGGTTTTCACGCAGGGTGTCAGGAGCTGCGTGACCATTTGCGTCCGGGTTTAGGGTGGGAACATTCTCCAGCAAGCTTGTTGCTTAATTTGCATTACAAAACAACTGTTGTTTACTGCATCTGTTACCCAAAGGCTTAGGACTGGAAAACATTGTCTGCCATTTGTAGGTAACTGTGGCACCGTGGTTCAGTGATATGGCTGCTAACCAAAAGGTCAGCAGTTTGAATCCACCAGCCCCTCCTTGGAAACCCTGTGGGGCAGTTCTTCTCTGTCCTGTAGGGTTGCTATGGATTGGAATCAACTTGACAGCGGTGGGATTTTTTAATGGATAGGTAATCCAGAGAATACCAACTATGGCCAACTGGTGCGCAGAAATGTTTTTTGCTGGAAGTTCATTTAAACAGTTCTATATGATGCTTCTCTTTTTTTAGATAAACACTGACATATATACATTCGTACAGCTTTAACCTATGACCTAAGAATGGTATAATCTACTCAGGAGATCCACCTTTACTGATCCAGCTTTTTTTCTTTTTTTTTTTTTCTGTCTGAGGGACATTTTAATTGGCAGATTACATCCTTCCAGAACTGGACATCTTAGAGGTGTGCATGCCTATACCAGAAATTTTATGAGTGGATCTCTCACAGAATGTTAAATAAAAGTTCTTAGTTCAGCTAAGCTGAAAGTGCCTAGATAATGCATTGGTGTCAGCGTGCGTTCTTAAAGCAGAGTAAACCTTGGCTTGAGTTGATCTTTTTCTTAGAGTTGAAAGAAGATGCAGAAACCTGTTAAATATTTCAGAGCAGGGACCCTGGAGAGTTTATTAAAAGCAAACTCCCAAACCTTTCTTGCTCTAAACCTTATTTATGAAAATCCCTGTAGGCCAATGGTAAAGTATTAAAAGAAAAAGATAGTTCTTTACCTCCTCAGTTCAGTCCTGGCACTTGTGTGCCGAAACGCAGTGTGGAGAGTGAGTCTGGCTGGCTGTAACATAGTGAAAGTTGCCATTAGTTTAATGCACTGTGGTTATTCATCTTAGGTGTCAAACTTCCATTTGTCCCTCATGCAACCCAAATGTTTAACACCTCAGAAGAGAAACATCTCTTCTGCTGCTGGGGGAGGGAAAGTCTGCAGAACCTAGTGCAGGAAGCTCCAGCTAACGTTGCAGCTCAAAGTCATAAGCAAACCACAATAACACCTGGTCAGTGTAGTGCTGCTAACTTCATTGTTTTTGTTTCTTTGTGATCTTAGAATGGATCTTTTAGGTGGGAAAGGAAGATGTGTGTGTTCCCATTTCAGCTTTTTTTTTTTTTTTCCTAAACATAGCTATGAAAATGTTCCAGGGTGTTTTTTTTTTTTTTTTTTCCATTATTTTGAGCAACTCAGTTCTGTTGTATGACTTTTGCCTTAAGGGAACCAACATTTTGATTTCTGATGGTGACAGTTATGCTTTCTTTCTTGTAACTTTGACTTAAAACTCTCCCCTATATTTATATTTGTTTACAAATTTGATTTTGTCATTGCTCACATCTGATATTAAGGAACTAAGGTGGATTTGTCTAATCAGTAAGCTTCTGAACACCACTGCATATCACATTGTTGTATAGCTTTGAAAACAATCACAGAAATAATACTTAATTCAAGGGTAGAAGGAGACTATAGCTTATATTTCAAGCAGGATTTTTAAGGTAGAGTGTTTTTGGATTTTACTGCAAGGAGCTACTTAATCTGACTTACTAAAAAATTATTTTTAATTTTCTAATCTAATTTGTATACTTTTTTGAAGCTAAGCATATTTAGTTTCCCCTTGTACATCAAGTGCAGGATTAGTTAAGTTTTGGAAAGTTTTCTATGTCAAATTTGAATGTGCGTATCGGGAGAATGTATGGGAAGAGTCCTCAGAACCCCCCAAATTCTTCTGTTTAATTCATTCTTAATTGCACTGCTTCAGAGTTGGTAAAGGCTCACTCGGGAGCTATTGCCATTCGCCATCAGATATATTATGGCCAAACGGTTTGCTTACTCAAGTGTCTCAGGGAGCCATACTACCTGTGACCGTCTAGGAGCTAATAGTGTACTGGCATAATTGTAAGGCAAGAGTATGATCGTTATTCAGATATATTTTTTGAATTGACTGTGGCAGTTTCTTCTTCATTCATAAAGACACGAGAACAACCCAGAAGATATTCATTAGTTTCGCTAAGGCAAGACCATTGAGCCAACGTGCAGAAAACCTTGCTCTTTGAAGTGCACCTGCCCCCCAGCGCCCACCCCACATTCCATGCAGG